AAGCACGAGAAGGAAGAGGGTCAGAGGGAGAAGCAGACTCCCTGCTGAGCAGGGAGCCCGATGCGGGACTCGATCCGGGGACTCCAGGATCATGACCTGAGCCAAAGGCAGTCGCTTAACCAACTGAGCCACCCAGGCGCCCTCGATGAGTCTTTCTTGATTGTTTCTGTGTAACATCATATTCTAAGTTCCGTAGTGACCAGAACAGACAAAATATCACAATTCCCTTGAAGCTGACATTCTAGGACACACAACATAGAAAGGAGGTAAGTAGAACACGCACTGTGTGGATGCCGGTGACTCCTGAGAAGACAAGACAAAGCTGGGGGCAGGGGTGTGCTGAGGACCTGAGCTCTGTGTGCCAGGGGGAGAGTCGGTTACTTCCTCTGGGACCGTTATCTCTGAGGATGTGCCTGTGGTGTGTGCTTGGGTGTGTCCATCTGTATTTCCCAGTGACGATTCTGCCTGTCTGGCGAGCCACATTTGTGTGTCTGAGAGGTTCCATGGGTCCTAATGATGATGGTTCCTGTTTCCAGGCAGGAGTGTCGGAGGTTCACTGCATGGCCGTACCGTTTTTGTGTCTATGTAAGTGCTTCCCAGTCTGCCCAGTCTGTGTGTAATGAAATATAATGGCCTGTCAGGTTCAGATTTACAAGTGCGTTCTATCTAACCTCTAAGAGCTACATAATTATTTTATTACTAAACTCTTATACGTGGAAAAACTAGAAAGCTTCCCAATTATTTTTATTAAGTTTGTGTGATTTTGATACTACATGAAATAGAAAGGTTGGGATCAAGCTAACTTTTTAAGTTTATTGAGTAATACCTGAAATACAATAAAATTCAGATATAAGTTTTGATACGTATATGTGTCCATGAAACCATGACTGTGATCATAATAATGAACTAGAAAACTCAGTTTTGGGGCACCTGGGTGACTCAGTTGGTTGAACGACTGCTTTCAGCTCAGGTCATGATCCTGGAGTGCCGGGATCGAGTCCCACATCGGGCTCCCTGCTCCGGGGGAGTCCGCTTCTCCCTCTGACCCTCCCCCTTCTCTTTCTCTCTTTCTCTCTCTCAAATAAATAAATAAAATCTTAAAAAAAGAAAACTCAGTTTTGAATGAGGAATAAGTCATAAATGGAATATTGGACAGTATAATTCCCAACTTATTAGATACCTATCAAGGACTGGAGCTCATTTCAGGGATAAAAATGAGCGCCTGGATGGCTCAGTCGTTAAGCGTCTGTGTTGGGCTCAGGGTCCTGGGATCGAGCCCTGCATCAGGCTCCCTGCTGAGCAGGGAGCCTGCTTCTCCCTCTCCCACTCCCCCTACTTGTGTTCCCTCTCTTGCTGTGTCTCTCTCGGTCAAATAAATAAATAAAATCTTTTTAAAAAATGTTTGCATGTTATAAAATACAAATATGATCATATTTTACCAAGAAGATGCAGCAGGCATTGCTGCACAGTGGTAGAAATTATGGGTACGTTAACACATGGACAGTAACCAGTGGTTGTCTACAAGGGAATAATGAATCTTCTGTCAACTCCATGTATGATAATTAACTTATTGAAGATTTACATGTGAAGGAAGAAGCTAGAACACTCTTACAAGTTACAGCAAGATTTGATGACTTCAGAATATGGAGAGTTTTTTTTTTATATAGGAGAAAAGAGTAAGCTACAAAGGAAGAGAATGAGAAATTAAACTCAAACCTACAGACCACTCAAATGTAGAATAAAGAGAGCACAAAGAAAAAAAACAAAGAAAAAAAAAAAAAAGAGAGCACAAAGATAAACACAGTCTGGAAGACAATATTTGCAATACATACAAATGAAAAAGATTCATGTCTAGAGTATATAAAGATATCAGAAGAAACCAACAAACATACAAAGTAATTTTAATAAATTAAAAGAAAATGACTGATAAATATTTCATAGATGAAAGACAAAAAGTGCTCAATATCATTGGTAATCAGTAAAAAGCAAGATGTAATCAGGGTGCCTGGGTGGCTCAGTCAGTGAAGCGTCTGCCTTCATCTCAGGTCATGGTCCCAGGGTCCTGGGATCGAGCCCCGCATCGGGCTCCCTGCTTCTCCCTCTCCCACTCCCCCTGCTTGTGTTCCTGCTCTCAATACCTCTCTCTCTCTCAAATAAATAAATAAAATCTTAAAAAAAGATGTAATCACAAGGCAATCCTGTTTCGCATGTACTATAGAGGCAAATATTCGGCAATTGCAGTGTTGTCAATTGTGTAATAAATAAACATGCAAGAATAGTGGGAGAGTCAATTCACACATTTTTTTTTAGAATTTTTTTTAAAGATTTTTTATTTTTTTATTAGAGTACAAGCAGGGGGAGCAGCAGGTAGAGGGAGAGGGGGAAGCAGGTTCCCTGATGTGGGACTCGATCCCAGGATCCTGGAATCACAACCTGGGCCGAAGGCAGCCGCTTAACCGGCTGTGCCACCCAGGCGCCCCTCAATTCACACATTTCATTGGCATTTCCTATAAATTTGAAATTATCCATAATCTCCAGCTCAGTAATTTTTCTCCAATGTATAGAGAATTTGTTATGCATGGCCATTTGAAAATTGAAACAGGAATGATAGGAGCAGCGTTTTTCACAAGAGGAAAACAATCATGAAACAGCCCCAAAACTATAAACACTGGAATGGATAAGTAAATTGGGTGACCCCCAGCTTCAGATGCCTGCACATGTGAAAAAAGACCGAGGCAAAGAAACCAGTGATGACCATGTTCCTGGTAATTCTATTATTACCCTTTCATGAAAAGCTCAAAAAACCCCACAAAAAATGGCAAAGTTAAACAAACACTACTTAGTAATGAATAATAGATGACAAAGCTATGAAGAATAACTATGAAATTCCCCATAGTGGTCCCATTAGGGAGTAGGAGGGAAATGAAGAAAGGTGGACATATTGGGAGTCTAATATCTGTCCAAAGTCTGGTGAGGATTATGTCCAACCTACAGGGTGCATGCAGTATTAATATTTAAGCTCAATGTAAGACATTTATGCAATGTTTTTGAAGTATGAGATACCACAGTATAAAAATTTAAAGAATTATTTACATGTGAAAAAAGTACAATTTTAAAAATATTTGTTTTATCCTGTTATCTAACCACGTATCTAGTTTTGGTTTCAGTTACTTTGGAAGTATTCACAAGTCTTTTAACTGGGTCCATTTAACTTGCCTTTGTACTCATTTGAATAGCAAAAGATTGGGTGTGGGGCCAGTTTCTAAAAAGAACTGGTTACACAAAATTATCCATCGTATGCACCTTGCTATGAAAAAAGCTGCAGGAATTTATTTCCAATTGAATAGAATCGAAGCATATATCAGTGTGTAAACCATGTTACATTAGTATGTCTAAGGGAAGAAAAAATGTGGTTGAAATTGCTTCTCTTTATATAAAGAAACTGTACAAAAACTAGTAAAATTGAAATTTGGAGGGGCAAAGGGACATGAATGCTAGAGGGTGTGCTAGGAGAGAGTTTTAAGGGAGATTTCTAAATCTCAGGCTGATTCTTTAAAACCTGGTGTTCATTTAGGAGCACCTGGGTGGTGCAGTGTGGGATTCTTGGTTTCAGCTTAGGTCATGATCTCAGGGTCCTGAGATTAAGCCCCTCCCCAGACTCGTGTGGAGTCCGCTTGAGATTCTCTCTCCTTCTCCCTCTGCCCCTCCCCACCTTGAGCTCTCTCTTTCTCAAATAAATAAATAAATAAATAAATAAATAAATCTTTTAAAAACTTGGTGTTCATTTATAACAATAAACAAAAGTAAATTAATCATACTTTTAATACTTTATAAATCAAATGAGTAATATATGTATTTTTAAAATTTTATTTATTTATCTGAGAGAGCACAAGCAGGGGAAGCAACAGGCAGAGGGAGAGGGAGAAGCAGACTCCCCACTGAGCAGGGAGCCCGATGCGGGCCTCGATCCCAAGACCCTGAGATCATAACCTGAGCCAAAGGCAGACGCTTAACTGACTGAGCTACCCAGGCGCCCCGAGTTTTATATATATATATATACACATATAATACATATATACATATATTTTTTAAAGATTTTTGTTTATTTATTTGATACAGAGAGACAGCGAGAGAGGGAACACAAGCAGGGGGAGTAGGAGAGGAAGAAGCAGGCTTCCCGCGGAGCAGAGAGCCGGACGCAGGGCTCAAGCCCAGGACCCCGGGACCAAGACCTGAGCCGAAGGCAGACGCTTAATGACTGAGCCACTCAGGGGCCTCCTGAGTAGTATATTTTTAATGAGAACCTGTTTTCTACATGCTACGTCTCTGAGCACTAATTTTTATGAGAATGGACAATACTTTTTAAAAACCATAAAACATGATTTCTTTCAACTTTGTAAATAAAATAAGCAATAGATTTTCCTTCCACTGGCTCTTAAGCTGGGAAGTATTTTCTGCACAGGGAAGCATATTAAATGCACTAGGAATTTTGACTCAATCTGTTAAGCATATTAAATTTCTGGGTCCATTCCAAATTTATTTAAGCTTTTGCTGTTTTCTTCTGTCAGGGGCCTGAGGGATATCGTAGCCGTTCACATTTCAAAGTCTCTAGGTATATAGTAAAACATGGATCTGCAATTAATTTCCCCTTAGTGTAAAACGTGAACCTGAGAATTTTAATAAACACCTCTGGTAACTTGTGGTTGTTCTGAGAAAATTTCCTGTGCCCAGGTTCAAGCTGCAGGGTTCAAATTTCCGGCTAGCACCGGCACTAGTTGGCTGGACTTGCCTGATCTAAAGCAGCAGGTGAGTGGGGTGGGGCAGCATAGATGAGGCTTCAACACTGACAACCGCCAAACATCTGGGCTGTCCAATTAGGAGGGCTGGGGCGGGGTTCGGAGCACTATCCAATCAGGATCCGGGGGCTCGGAGCACCGTCCAATCAGGGCCGGGGGCGGACGCGCTCCTAGCCTAGGGGCCTAGACTCTCAGACGGCCTGAGGCACCAGTGTGCACCTGCCCCTTGCGGAGCGGCTGTCTTGGATCCGCATCGCTCTCACCTGCACGGGCCGCGGAGTCACCGCGAGGACGCCAGGAGAGCCAGGAGCGGGGCTGAGAGATGGTGAGTGCGCGGGGTCGGGCGGACACCGGGAGGGGCTGGTTCGAACAGGCCGGTACAGGCTGGAGGTGCCCGCGGCCCGGGTTCCTCCCCCGCAACCCCTGTCCAGGTTCTGACCCGCGTTTCCGCTCTTGGCTGCGGGGTGGGGTTTCGGCGTCCTGTCCCGTCCGCGCGTGGGTCTGGGTTCTCAGAACTTCCTGGGGTGACCAGGTGAGCGCGACTGCTGTCCACCCGGGGCTGGGGGAATCTCAGTCCCGGGTCGGCTCCTCCCGGAGGACAGCCTTGGGGGGCGGGCGAGGAGTCCCGGGGGACCTGCTTAGGGCCCTGGGCTCGGAGAGATTCCCTGGTAGGTCCTTGATCCCTAAGTGACCCCAGTTCTCGTTTCCTGGAGGACTTTGGTCGTCAGCCGGCAGATGCTGCTATTGAGGGAAGAGAAATGGTTCCTGCCCTCTGGGTTCTCACAGTGAAGGAAGCAAAACGGAAGAACAGAGAAAACCCACCCAGTGAGCTAGTGCGGCAACCTGCAAAGCAAAATGCGCTGGAGACCTACGGTGGGACAGGAGCCTGTGCACTTTGGGAGGGTGTTCCGGGAGTGCTTCAGAGAACAGGTGGTGGGGGGTGGATGTCCCACGTGGTAGGATGGCCGTGCTTGACCCCTGAGTCATCTGTGTCAGTGTTCCAGTTCTGCACTGCCCCTCCCTGGGTTTGTCACCTTGAAAAGATTTATTTGGCTATTGGAGCCTCAGATTTTTCAGTAAATGTAAATACATTTAACTAACAGACTTTGAAAGATTGGATAAAATATTTGCCAAGAAAGAAGGGAGGGGTCAATTCAGGGGGAAAAAGAGGATCTAGTCTTGCATTTGTTAAAAATTCTTTTGTGTCTTTTTTCTCTCCTGGAGCATGTGTGGTTAAGTTTCTCACATCTGTTGTTTTCTTTTTGGTGATGACAAATGGAATTCCAGAGCTTAGCCTGGAGGATGCTACTGGGGAAAAGAATCTAAGGGAAATAGAGAAACCCTCTGTCCCATTATGAATGCATACAAATGAATGCATTTCCACACACAAAACGTTTGGCATATTAGTTGGTGGATTACAAAGACTCACCAAAAATGTCAGTTATTCTTTTACAGGGTGGGGAATTTATGACTGCAGATAATTCTATTCTGTCTGGTATTATTGGACTTCAGAGATTCATGCTAAATCCTGACTACCTGAAGTGGGGATAGGGGCCCTGCCCAGTGACTCCAAGCTAAGTAAGGCCAGCCAAGTGACAGCAGAGCGAGGGAATGAAATGGTTTCTTTCTGGAGAGTGTCTTCTGGGCCTGTGTCCTGGGCTGCCCACACCATCTGGAGAAGGCATGTGTGTGCCTAGAAAAGCTGCAGGGCACTCAAAAATGTGTGTGGCTGGTGGTGATGCCCTTTCTGAGCTTATGCTTGCCACTGCCTTGGGGATGTTTCTAAATAATACATTTGGGGTGGGCACGCACAGAGGTGGTGCACCCAGAGCGTAGTTTGTGCACACTGAGAAAGTCTATCAAGGTCAGACTTAGGGAAAGACTCTTTTGGTGTCTGTCTCCTAGAGAAAGAGTTATGAATGTGGGAGTTCATTTGGGGTAGAGCCTTAAACTGACTCCAGCCAAGAATTTCCTGGCTACTGAGAATTGAAGCCTGGAGAGGGAGCATTCCCACACTGCAAGGTCGGGAGAGGTGGGTGTGTGGGGCTCCAGAGTTCATCCCTGTGTCTGCTCAGGTCTCCCTGCCCTCCATCACTGGAGACTGACCAGCAGAAGGCTGGCATTTCTGCAGTGAGGTTCTGGACTCCAAGCCTGTGAATGTGTCACCTTCTGAACGTGGTGGGTTTTCTTTGCAAACAGTGGATAAGTGAGTGGCTTTATCTGAGCCAATGGAAATATTTGGTTTTCTTCCCTTCTGATTTCTATATCTAATGTCGCTGCTGTATAACTCCAGTCTCCCTAAAGGTTTGGCCTTTTCATTTCCCCATTTGAGTGTGTAAGACTTTTATTTTCTTGGGTGAGTAGAAATGGATTGAGAGATAAAATATAAGAGAAGAGATTTCTGGAAGCATACAACATTTTTCTTCCTTTTTTGACAAGAGAACGTCCAGATAGGAGATGGGTGTATTTAAACTCTCAAGTTAATGTTTCACTTTTTCAATAATTTTTTATATCCGTGATTGTCTCTATAGAGTTATGAAATTTAAAATGTGCTATTCCTAAAACAATTCTTATTTTAACTGATATGAGAAAAATTACCTTTGGATATGCATATCCTTGAAAATCATAGTGCATTGAATGGGTTAGGTCCAAACCCCTAACGTGTGAAGTATTCTACTCATTTTTTGAAAATATTCCCCAGTTTGAAGGGCTCTTGGGGGTACAGTCGGTGAAGTGTCTGACTCTTGGTGGCAGCTCAGGTCATGATCTCAGGGTTGTGAGACTGAGCCCCACATCCAGCTCTAAGTCAGGCTCTGAGCTCAGCATGGAATCTGCTTGAGATTTTCTCAATCCCCCTCTGCCGCTCCTCCCATTCACTCTCTCTCAAATAAATAAATCTTAAAAAAAAAAAAAACCTCCCCAGTTTGAGTGGAAACGATGACGTCACCTGTCATTTTAGTTGTAAAGAGGTTTGAGATATTTTATTTTTCATGGTTTACACTTTCATAAACTTTAGTTTTCAGGGAATTGTGAACCTTAAAAATTAATGTCGGTTACTTTACCGGCAAAAATGGAGTTATTCGGGAATAGCAGGGAATTGGAGTTTGGGACATGCAAGCTACAGCAAAACCATAGACATATCCAACAAAGAAAGGAGAGGAACATTAATTTTTGGAGAAGGAGGAAGTTGGGAGGGCTTGTTTTGGACAAAAGTCCATTGGACAAAGGGAAGAGTTCAGGGGGATGAGAATTTCTCTGAGTTTTGATGACAGTTTTTCTTGCTGAATTATAGGTATAGTCAATTTCTTCTCTCTCCTTTTTTTTTTTTTAAGAATTCTCCATTCTTATTTTTTATTTTATTTTTAAAATTTTTGTAAGTAGGCTCTATGTCCAATACAGGGCTTGAACTCACAACTCTGAGATCAAGAGTCTTATACTGTACTGACCGAGCTAGCCAGATGCCCTAGGGATAGTCAATTTCTTATAAGAGATGCTGTGGACATCTCTTCCTGCCAGGGCCTGTAATTGACGGTTCTTTCCTGTAGAGATTCTTCTGTTGGAGTTTGTAATGGGCAGTTCTTGTAATCAAGGTGGAATGCTCCCCCTTCTGGCCTCCCAACTCCATCTGATTTTTTTTTTCCTTTGGGGTTTTTCTTTCCTTTTTTCTTTTTTCATTTATTATTATTATTTTTTCTTCCAACTCCATTTTAGTGAGGCTTACCTTTATTAATTTTCACAGGATTAAATCTTAAAATGATTTCCTGTGTGGAAAAGTGGTTTCTAAATAAAAATAAAGACTATTAAAAAGCAAAATATAGGGGTGCCTGGGTGGCTCAGTTAAACATCAGACTCTTGGTTTCGGCTCAGGTCATGATCTCAGGGTTGTGGGATTGAGCCCTGTGTTGGGCTCTGTGCTCAGTGTGAAGTCAGTTTGAGATTCTCTCTCTCCCTCTCCCTCTCCACCCCTCTTGAGTGCTCTCCCCCTCTCTCTAAAATAAATAAATAAATCTTTTTAAAAAAGCAAAACATAACTTATATAGATTTCTCTTTATGTAAAGTAAATAATGTATGCAAAGTTTTAAAAATCCTGCAAAACATCGAAAATCTAACATAAAACAACTCCCTGCCAGCATATTCTGGTCCATGCCAGTCCTACCCCAGCCACCCTCAGACAACCAATTTTAATAATTTCTTGTGCATTTTTATCAGTGTTTCTGTCTGTAAAAAGAAACAAAAGGCTAAAGTTTTTCTTTTGTTACAGGAAAGGTAACATGATATACACAGGGCAACATACTTTTCTTATTTGTTCTAATGATAGTCCTGCGGACCTTTTCATATAATGTCAATTTGATTTTCAAGTTTATGCAACCAGTTCTCTTTAATTAGGCACTTGATCTGCATCTAATATTTTTCTATCAAGGTTTGTTAATCAAAACTGACTTTTTCAGGGCGCCTGGGTGGCTCAGTTGGTTAAGCGACTGCCTTCGGCTCAGGTCATGATCCTGGAGTCCCGGGATCGAGTCCCACATCGGGCTCCCTGCTCAGCAGGGAGTCTGCTTCTCCCTCTGACCCTCCCCCATCTCATGTGCTCTCTCTCTCTCATTCTCGCTCTCTCAAATAAATAAATAAAATCTTTAAAAAAAAAAACTGACTTTTTCATATTACACGGTAAACAAACATAAGAAAAGTGTTATTTTCCAACCTTGATTAATGCTTTAACTTTTCTGGTGAAATCTATCATATTTAGAATGCATGCAAAGTTTTATTGGACATCTAAAAACTAATCATGATATAAACATCTGTGAATTCACCACCTAGATTCATAAATGGGCCTTGGGTAGCTGTAAGAGTCTCCTGACTTGATCCTCCCTGAACTCACCACTGTCTTGTCTCATTGATGACCACTGTTTCCTTCTTTGCTTAATCTTCATACCTTTACCTTTTATGGGTTTTTTTTTGTTTGTTTTTTGTTTTTTGTTTTTTGTTTTTTTTTTACTAAGCAGTGTTCTGCTTTGTTTTACTTCTTTGGGACGTTCAATAAATAAATATTAATGGAATTACACTGAAAAGGCTTTCCTATGGTTCTTTGCTGTAGTGTGTTTCGGATATGCTACTATCTGAAAGCTGCAGTCATTAAATTCTTCCATTTCAGTGCTTATGGGGTTTGGGTTTTTCAAGTTTGTTTTTTTGCTTTTGCGAAACGTGCCACTCCTATGAGTCTTGTTTCAGTGTCCAAGGTCAGATGTGTAGTACATTTGCCCACATATTGGAGGAAAATCTTTAGATTATAGATCATGGCCAAGTTCAAATTTATGAGACAATTCC